TTTGAATTCCTGACAGCGTTGTTCACATTAATGTCTCGTATCGTTGGCGGGGAAAAAAACCACGTCCGCTTGTTGTCACGGTGTGAATGGTCATTTTCAATCGCGTTGATCGCATTAATATCAACGCTAGCGGTCGAAAACCTTTGATTCGAACGTGAGCCCGGCGAGATATTCCTCGGCTCCCATAACCTCGTTTGATTTGCATTTTGATCGTTGTTTGATATTTATTTAATTCGGAAAAAGTACGGTTCAGCTCGTAAAATGTTCATGGGACGTGTTTGCACACAATAAAACACACATGAGAGGAAAGGATGGCAAATAGCGTTGGAATGCAATATCTCACAATTCCACAAGATTCACATTGAATGAAATTAAATATTTAATTGGGTTCTCATCAAATACGATTTTTTTTCTTCATAAATCTAACGACCTTTCAAAATATTTACAAATCCTTGAAAAATTTCTTTGGCTGATCTAACAATAAAACCAAAAGATTAAAACATGAAATGACATTACTCGTTGACTAAATTAATGAATTATAAAAATTGCGAAAGAATATTCTTATTAAATGATTGAAATCATCTAATTACTGAAAACTTCAACAATTTTTATCAAAACTGTGTAATTCTTAATTATTTCAGACAATTACTGTAATTAATATAAAGTCAGATTGCAACGCAAATATAATATAATGATAAACAATAAGGGGGAACGAACAAGCAGCGAAGTTATCCACGACGAAACCGCACGATCGTACGTCTATACGTCCAGCAGATTTACAAAGTCGATTGCTAATGATATAAAAAATGAATGGAAAATCCACTGGAACAAAAGAAACACGTCTATATCATAACACGTCTATGATTATAATTAAATAATCATAAAAAATATATCGATTCTTGGCCTGCGGAGGCAGGGTCTAGAAGGGAAAAGGTCATACTTACCAGGTTGCGTAGGTCATACAAAGATCACACACCTTCTAATGGGGGTTAGACCAGTTAGGGTGTCCATTGTGTTGAGGGCTTATCACGGTATAAGCATTTCATAACAGTCAGCAAAGAAAGAAATGACGAAAATGACTTATGGCCGCGGCCTTAAGACACCGCAGGAGGTACAGGTCGCTCAATATATAAGGGCCATAAATACAATATAAATATAAGCCTTCCATTTGCGCAAATAAATACATTCACTCCAATAAATATGATATATGGTACATGGTATCATCTAGCAGATTTACAAAGACGATTGCTAATGATAAAACAAATGAATGGAAAATCCGCTGGAACAAAGAAATATCTAAATTATTCAATCTATTCAAATTAGATTAAAAATATATATATATATATATATATATATATATATATAAAATGTGTTATTATTGGAGAGAATGTATTTATTTGCGCGAATGGAGGCTTATCCCTCATATATCCCGAAGGGTAACCAGTATTCTGGGATAATGTGAATAAATGAGTGAATGAAATTTATTAGTGTGTGGTGTTTAGTGACCGTCAGCAAATGATAATTCGGAAATCGTCAGATGCGGTCTGGTGTGACATAGGTTTTAGAAAAACATTTTCTTCCTTTTTAAAAAGATGGTTCCTACTCACATTAAGTTGTTTCGCAACATTCCGGATTTCCAGCCCTTTAGCTCATCGTCTAATCGTAATAATATTAAGGTATTATTATAATTATTTTATTTTTATTCTTATTTATTTTTTAAATTTTTTATCTTTAATCACTAATTTACAATTAATTTCTTACAGTATTTACTATTACAATTGTTATTTCTGTTATGATTCCCGCTTTTCGCACGTTCAAATTGAGCGCCATTAAAAAACCCAGCTCCTCATTGGAACGTCGCGTTGGCGGGGATATCAGCGGGTTCACTTCTGCAATTCATGTCGAGAGACGTGTTTGTGGAAACCCTTCAACCTGACGATGAGCTAATGGGCTCGAAATCCGGATTGTTGCGAAACAACTTAATGTGAGTCGGAACCATCTTATTTTAAAAAGGATTGAACTCCACACTCACCCCATCATTTATAATTTTTAAATATTTTCTTTATCGTTCCAACGTTTCGATCTTTATTGAGATCATCTTCAGGGCTCAAATTGTTTGTTTTCTGTATAGATGTGTCATTCTTGTGTATCGTGTTGGGAATAACGATAGTAGTAAGTAATAGTAGTAATTTATTAGCGTGAATGGTTATCTGATCTCCGATTACCACGAGGAATATCGAGTACTCAAGACTAGAGTGAATGAATGTGCAAATGTAATTTATTACCATGCATGGAGAGATAATACTTTAATTACCCTGAGGACTATGAAGTACTCTGAGGTAGTTAGTATGTAGTCTCGCGTATGGGTGAAATTTATAAGCGTCAATAAAAGGTCATCTCAGCATTATTCCGAGCAATATCGAGTACTTTTGGGTAGTTTGAATGCTAGCCAGACTATCATGATTTTATTTATTTCTGTGAATTTGTGTTTGTTATTTGTGTTATTTTCAATAAGATTGACCCGGCCCTGATGTACCGAAAGGCTTGCAATAGGTCAGAGCAAAGAGAGAATTAGTTACTTTTGTAAAGTAAAATATCGCGACTTAGCTGGAGAAAGAGAAGAAGAAATTAGTTGAATTAAAATTAAAAAAAAAAGAAAAAATATAAAGCAAATTGCGACTGATGGGCATGAATTTTATTTTTCGAACTTTCTATTAAGCTTTAAACTAATTATCAATAAACAATTTCGTAATTACCTTTTAACATGAAAGGTTACATTGCTTCTATCGTGTTGGGTTTTTTTAAATAAATTAACATTAAATAAATTTAAACTTGCAGGATCGATTTTGCAACCGTAAAATGATACAATTCCAATTTTTTAGTCATAATTTGCATTTTTTTCTTAAATAGATTTATCATTTAATATTGAGAGTTCCAGCTTTTATTTTATTTTTGAAAAAAACAACATTTGTTTCAAATTACAAAAATATTTTTTTACGTAATTTAATTTATTTATTGTTATCTATAAAAAATACATTGAGCATATAATATAATTATGCAAAAAAGACAGGTTTGTCAGAAAAGGAGACATTGGAGAGACAAACCAACCAGAGCTGGAACTCTCTTTTATTTAATTAGGTGGATTAAATCCAAATTAATGTCACGATGCCATCGTCGTTTGGGTAAAGAGTTGGGACTATCCTTCAGGAATGTTATTTTAAGGATGTTTTATGGATAATTTGGGTAATTATGTAGAAAGGAGACGGGGAACTTTAGACTGAAAGGATTGTATTCGTTGGATGTTGGAGTATTTGGCATGATGAGTGTTTTGTAAGCGACTAGTTTGTTACGCATGCTTCGTGTTGATTTTGCTCCCAGTAGGTATCTGAGTATTTCGTTCTTTTGTTAAGTTCTTGTCGTTTTAATCTTGCATGCGGGTTCCATGTCAGTTATGACTCTTAGTACAAGGTTGTGAACTTCGTTGGATGGTGGCCATTGGTGGGTTAAGAATAAACAATATTCAAAAATCAAAACCAACCGACAATTATCTACTTTTTGCTGTTTCGTTCTAGAGTCACTATTTTATCGGAAGTTTCGTATAGGCTCTTTTTAAAGGGTGGGGGGGTAGCTACTAAATTTTGCAAGAAACATTGGAGATGGAAAGAGGATTGAGGGGTATCAATTTGTGCTATACGGACCTCTTTCTAAAAGGTTGGGGTTAAAGTGGATTTCAGAAAACCCAAAATAACGAACGCATCGAAGAGATGTTTTTTCGTTGAAACAGTTAACACGAATACAAGAGTTTCAAAACTACCGGCTTTTATAAGAAAACAATTAGACATCCATTTTCCGTTGAGGGAGAGAAATAAAAACTACATAGCAAAGAATGTGTGGTAAAGTGAGATTGTGTGAATACACACACAAATCAATCACAAATCAAATTGTCAACTCAATAGACATTTGAAAATATTGGAAGAGGCAGATGATTTGATTATTGTAAAAAAGAAGAGGAAATCACAGTACATGTCATGTGTGACTGCAAAGGCATAACAAGGAGAAATGTACTCACGATAAAAAACAAAACACAACAAATTGAGAGAGTGATTGATTGATTGGAAGAAAGAAAGAAAGAGAGAGAGAGAGAGAGAGAGAGAGACAGAGAGAGAGAGAGTGAGTTAGAGAGAAATAACCGAAAAAATATAAAATATGTATTTAATGGTTTTTATCTGTTTGGATAGAAAATATAAAACCCAATTGATGAAAAAGTATTATAATATAATACCTGTGCATATAATGGTTTTTATCTGTTTGGATCGAAAATATAAAACATGATGAACAGTTATTATAATGTAACATATATAATAATATNATATATATTATAATCATATTTTTAGGGTCATGTACCACATATTTATCTGTCCATTACTGACAAATCGTATGCTATTAGCAAGCCTAGTTTTGATATAATATTATAACCATTAAAATTAAAAAATTAAAGTGATTAATGGAATTTGTTATTGTTGAATGTTATTAACATCAATTTTATTATGAATCAATGTATTACAAATTGGATAAAAACACGATAACACTTACTCAATATACAAATCAGAGATGATGTAAAAATCACTTCTCGTAACTGTTTAGTACAATTATTTTTGTATCGCTACAACATTTATTATTACAGATGTATAGATGACATCAATCGAAAATTCCTTAATGTTTTCTCTAGATTTTTCTAATGGAGCTTAAACATGAACTCGTGAAACAAATATAATATAAAACGGTAATTTCTCTTCCTCGTCCTTGTTCTATTCACCCTCCAGGGCTCCTGAGCGGCTCGACGAGAATGGGCGGTAAATTCAGGACGGCCCTTATCTCGTGCCCATTACTACCCTCTCCAGACCATTTTGGCTAGCTTTCACTTTGAATTATTCAAGAAATTAGATGGAAGAGGCGGAGGATTTAAGGACCGGAGGGGGACGGGATTTCAGGGCGCTCACCTTCGGACACGAAGACGTGTATGTACGCCGGCTGGGTGTTTGATGCGCTACATGTGTAATTGCCACTGTCAGTGTATTTGGCGTCGTGGATGGTGAGGTGGGATTCGGTCTTTTGACCCTGCTCCGTCCTCACTTGGACCCCGCCCCTCGATGTGTCATAGTTGATCATCTTAGAATTGTGGTACCACAACACGTACTGCGGCGGTGTCGGACTCTGAAAACAAAAAAAAAGGTTTTGTTCATATGAATTTTTTGGTAGAGTAATCAAACAAATCACAAAAGTTGGCACGCGTACAATTAATAATAGTAAGGCATAAATAAAAACTCACGAGAAGAGGTCACGATGATGGGAAACAGAAAGGCAGGAGTTTATCAATTTCAATTAATTTAACTTTAACTGAATTCAAGCAATTGCGAAATATATCTATTTCAATAGAATAATAATTCAGCAATCTCATTATCCTCGGTAGGGGTGAATTTAGTCCATATTCTGTTTTGTAGTGTGGTTCCTAAGTGGTCGCTGAGGCACACATAGCGATAAATGTAAGTTCAGGATATCAATGGCCCCATTCCACAATTTCCAACCCCAAATGAGATCGGTAAAACTACGACGGGAGCTAAGCGACTCAAGACCAAGCCAGTTCAGTCTTTCCAAGTAATTCAGGTGTGCAAGACCAAATCTGAAGGCCATTATCCTGGTTACTTTCTTTTGTACTTTTTCCAAGTCGCTAATCTCACCAACGTAGTAAGGGGACCACACGACACTTGCATATTCCAGATGGCTACGAACGACGGATTGATATAATATTTTCACTGCCAAGATGTTTTTAAAATCTCTAGCAATCCTAGTAATAAAGCCAAGATTGCGTAGAGCCTTACCTCGAAACTGTTTGATATGTCACTGAAATCACCCTTTCTGCTGGAAACGACACCAAGTCAGAGATAGTGTCAACCTCTTCCAATCTCTGCCCATCAACGAAATAGCGAAAACAATCAAAGTCCCGAGGTCGGATATTTTTAGAAAATTTAATTACTTTGCATTTGTTAATATTCAAAGGAAGACTATTATGTCCAGTTCCCTCTGTAAACCAACGCAGTCGGGAGTAGAAGACACTGAATTAAAAAAATTTAAATCATCCGCCAATAAAGAAAACTTACAATCTTTGAATATACTACAGACATCATTGAAATAAACAAGAAATAATATGGGCCCGGAGTGAGAACCCTGAGGTACGCCAGAAAATGTAGAAATCATATCCGATACAGAGTTATTAATGAGAACAGAAAAAGAGAAACCAGATAAAAATGATTCGATGAAGGATAACAAAGGATCACCAACTCCAAGGATTTTCAACTTAAACAGAAGATTATCAATGTCACCTCTATCGAAGGCCTTGGATAAATCGGTATACACAGCGTGAACACTATTTCCATTCTCAAGGGAATTAACAATAAAATCATAATAATGAAATAAATTTGTACTCGTGGATCTACCCCTTAAGAAACCATGCTGATTGATGTTAACATATGATCGAAAAGCCATGCTAAGGGCCTCAGCAAGAATGGAATCTAACTTCTTGGCGAAAACAGAAGAAGCTTTAGATGGGTAAAACCAATTTTAACCTAATAAAAAAGCTCAATTCAAAAATTCAATGTGTTTTTTTATTAGGTTAAAGTTGGTTTCTACAACTTCTGTGTTGGCTCTTTTTTTCTTTTGTTTCTGTTTAGTGTAGATATTTTGTCCAATTTTTCTGCTTTGGTTGTTCGCTATGTTTATTATTTATTTTTTTATGTGCTTTGTATTATTTTTTTCATTGTGTGTTTTTTTATTAAGTTAAAGTTGAGAAATAAATTTTGCCCAGAGAAAAGTTGAATTATGCTAGATTAACTCCATTCCCCTTTTTTCAAACCATCTCTACAATTTCCCTATTTGACATAGAATTTTTGAATTTTGGTTCGGTGTAATTAAGGAAAGGGTATAATTTTAATTTTGTCATGGTGTACAGTCTTATTTTGTAGAACTCCATAATAAGATGATGGGTTGGATAGGCATTTATGAAGTCAGACGCGTTTCGGTCTATTATAGACCATCTTCCCTTTATCTTTTTTTAAATAAAATGGTTTGACGGCTTTCACATCGTTATAAGTTCGTATGTGGATGTCTGAACGATTATGGACTCGGTCTATCAAGAATTCCTCTTCAAAACGAAGGGTCCTTCTTAAAGGATGTTTAACGCTCTTTTCAATGGTTTTTTGGATTTCAGGAAAAGGGATAATTCTAAAGCTACGAGTATGTCGGAAACCGTAGATAGCTGAAAAAATAACATAAAATGTTTATTATCACCGAAAGGGTTGAGAATTAGATCATGGTTCTCTAGTTCTCTCTAAACTGTTTTGTTGCATTTAAGGTGTATAAAGCATCTGACGAAATTGGTCGTACGAATAGCGAACCACCCTGTATAATGTTAATTTATGTAGAAATTTAACATAAATACGGGAAAAAGTTTAACTAGTGAACAAAATATAACTTAAATTTGCTGGCAGTAACCAAAACGTTCCACGTATGTCAATCTAATTGATGGTGAATCAGAGCAAAAGGCGTCTCATTTGAAAACTCAATGTAAAAAGCAGCCAATGGAATTTGAATAACAAAAATATTAACAGAAAATTCCCCACATATCTTAACGGGCGAATCGAATTCCTGAGATCTAGATTCTGGGAGAATTTTAGGCTTTAACGGCGTTGCCCGAATTGTTTCTTCACTAAATTCCGACTTGTTGTCTCCGGGCCAGATATCAAGTCCCAGGGAAAAGGGTTTATCCGTGATTTGGGACAGAAGGAGAACTGATTTTCATAGTGTTTAGAGTCTCCGGGACAATCTGAATCTGCCGCTTTTTTCCTTTTATATAAAAGACATTGCCAGCAACATGGGGAAAAATCCAAGGATAGAAACTTTCTAATGCAATAAAGCATTAAAAGTGAGTTGGAGGTAATATTATTTCATCATGGTCTGCCGTTTTCTCGATCGTTTGGTCGGTTTTCGACGTTTCGCCATCTTTGGCTGTCTATTGTTGTGTAAATTGTGTTCTTTTCATGTAATTCGATAAAATAACAAAATGTGATAGTATAGATGGACCGGGATGAACCGGCACAATTAATCTACATATTTCTCAACTTGTACAACATTTCATAATATTATAGAATAGTCAGGGAAATTTATAACAATGATATAGAAGTTTCCCGGTACTAATAATAATTGTATTGTTTTTAAAAAATGATTTCAAGTGGGGGTATAGTCATAATTTTTTGTCTACAAATGTACTCTACTTATCTTTCTGGTTTACGACTAATTCAGCCTATTTCTACTTTTATCTGAGTTTACATGTTGTTTACATGAGAAAATGCGTTCTTAAGCATTGAGTTATGTCGTGGTCAACTAGTGCAAAATCTAGTAGAAAACATAAAAAGAGAAATCTTTGCAAAGACAGATGGGCGATTTAGACGAAACCATTTGCTTTTTCAAGCAATTTCCCATGAGTGAAATATTAAGTAGTGAGCGATCAACCTCCCGTTGGATGAAAAAATGTAGAATGTCCCTCGAATGCACAATTTGATCCTTTGTGATCCCGCTCGTGACACTGACTTTTTTTGTCTCAATTAAAAACCTTAATTAATTGAAAGATTAAATTGTAGTATAGAATGGATGGGTGGTAGATCTCGTCCACCACTCTTCTAAGGTAAATTCATAAAGTCATTATGATTGATGCCATAATTCTAATATAATAAGTAGATGTTTGTATTTATTAACCGTGTAATTCATTATAAATGGAATACAGGGTCGTAGAATGATTGTGGCAAGTCGATCGAGACGGCACCGAAAAAACGGACCATTTTAGATGGCAATATTTTGTGGATAGTGTTATAGAAATAATATAATAATATTGTGTATTAATTTTGTGTATAAATTAGCATTTTGTATTCATGTACAGTTGAATCAAACTTCTCTTTACTATAGAAGTATAAAGTTAAACATTTGTTAAAATGCATGTACGTGATTTGGTTCTATTTTATCATAATTTATTGATTTTTATTGATGTTCAAATCAATAAACGACTGATTGAATGTTAATTCACAACGAATTCAAAATCACTTTGCATAGACATGTAAATAATATGAATAGGAAAAACCATTCTATAAAATTACGGCCAATTGTACGCATTATATTTTATTTATATTTTCTGCCCAGTTCATATAAATCAAAAATTATACCTAGATTGTTTTCCAGTCGGCAAATAGCTTGGTCCAGTTTTGCCTATCAGATTTGATGGATTGTCACATTGTTTAAGTATGTTCAATTCAAGTAGAGGGTGGAAACCGATGTACTTCGGTCAAGAAGATTTAAGTCGGAAACGACGGAATCAACGAGTAAATTTTCATCGTGATAGTGTACAATATTGGACAAAACATTCCCCGTCCCTGGGAAAAGTCCCGGGTCTTAAATAAGTTTGGCGCAGTTAACGAAAGCCTTAAGTACCTACTAAAGCTTTCATAACAAGTTTCTATCCGGCCAACTTTCCAGTTCCGTTCGCCAGACTTAACACGGACTATGTCCAACTGAGTATAAATCGATAAATAAATCTAATAAATACAGAAAAAAGAAGATAAGCAAAATTTCTACAGCAACAAAACAAATAAAAAAAATATTCTATTTATTTAAAAACTATTATTACCGAACTTACTGCAACTGTTTTGTTTAACGGATTTTCTTCTCCGGTGGCACGAGAATGCGGTCTTTTCGATTACAACCGACAAAATGCGCTTTCCTTGCGTGCGCTTAAAAGCAATTTGTTTCTTATAGGCTTTGCCAAATTATAAAATAATCAGTTTAGTATTTATGGAATGGGAAACCGTTCCATCCTCGTTGAAATGTGGCTCACGCACTGCAATAACTTACAAGAGAAAATGGCAACGCGTGCAAGGGTCTCAAAGGTTATTCATTAAAATTCAACCCGTTTCGCTCTTTTAATATACCCGTCTTTACTGGAAATTAACAAAGATTTTGATTATTTTCGATCATGACAAATCAAACCTACAAGAAAGAAATACATCTGAGATAGGTTCATTCCTGTCTTTAATTTTTGCGAGATTGAAAAGATTTATGTTAATTAATTCTGAATAAAATTATAACGCGATCTGAGGACGAGTTAGGGTTGT